GCAAGGCTTTGGGCATGTTGGGCATGCACTGTACTAGTGAGCTACATGTCAGCCCTTTTCAAACTTTCATTTTGAACAAGATCTCAGTGAATTGTCCAGGTTGGTCTCCAACTTTTGATCCTCCTGCCTCAGACTCCCTAGTGCAGTAGTGAGGACTTAAAGGTATGTGCCACCACCCTCAGCTTCATTAATGTGCTCTTCAATCCATACAAACTTGCCAGTATTCATTTAAAATCTTACCAGACAGGTTGTAAGTCCCACGGTAGGAGTGTTATGCCTATTTCTTATTCTATTTTGTATCTGCAGATGGACTGGACCCAGCCCAACTCTGTCTATGTGAATGATCACTGCTCCTGTGACCTTGGCTGAGAGCCCAGCAGTGACGCACTGGATTTAAGAAATTCAGGTACTGGTAGATTATCAGAAAATAAAATATCCCCTACAAATATGTCACAGGTTGCAGAACACAAACACTAGGCATGCAGAAGTGGAATTACAAAGTAAAAATGGATTAACACTCATAAAATATCTGCCCAAGTACAACATACACCAAAACACTCTTTCTGAAAATATACTCGAGTACCATTACTCACCATGGATATGGACAAAACAGTCATTTTCTTTTCAAAATAACTGCCTTGCGGTTAAAACTAAAATCTGTTCTTTTTTTTTTCTCCTGAAGAATTTCCGCACAAGTTTTGTTTGGGTTTGTTTTTTGTTTTCTTTGCCTTGTTTGAGTCAGAGTCTCACTATGCAGCCCAGGCTGGCCTCGAACTCTCAAGAGATCCTCCGGCTTCAGTCTGCTGAGTGCTGGGATCACAGAGGTGTGCCACCATGCCCAGCCCTAAACAAGTTTTTTAAAATGTTGATTCAGAAACTGACATATAGGTATAAGACTCGAGGAAAGAAAAATACTTAATGTACAGTAACATTAAACATACATTTCCCCTCTGACCTAGAACACACATCATGAAAATCTTCCTCAGAGAGTGCACCTCCACAACTGCAAAAAAGCACTATGGAAGTTTATTCACCGCGCATTTCTCACAGATGAGCAAAAAACTGGGGAATGAATGCTGAGGACAAGATATTCCTCCTGCTAAAGTCTTAACTTTCAAGTTACTTTTTTTTTTTTTTTTCCTGAGACAGGGTCTGGATATTTAGCTCAGGCTGGCCTCAAACTTGCAACAATCCTCCAGCCTCAGCCTCCCAAGTGGTGGGATTACAAGCATGCACCACCCACCCAATTTAATTTCTTACGCAAAAAAAAAAAAAAAAAAACACACAAAACTTTTTTAAAGGACAAGCCAGACACAGTGGTGCACGCTTGTAAGCCCAGCTACCCAAGAGGCTGAGACAGATGGACAGCAAATTCAAGGCCCCTTCGGGCTACTTAGTGAGATCCTATCTCACAAATTTTTTAAGGGGGCCAGGGATTTAGCTCAGTGGTTCTGCTGCCTGCACAGAGTCTCCAGTTCAACCCCCAACACCCTCCCAAAAAAAATGTATTAAGGGCTAGGGACGCAGCTTAGTGAAAGAGCCTTCGCCTAGCATGCACAAGATCCTGGGTTCCATCCCCAGTACCATGAAAAACAGAAAAGAGGGCCAGGGGATATAGTTCAGGGGCACCACACCTGCCTAGCAAGTGCAAGGTCCTACGTTCCATCCCAGTACAAAAAAGGAGAAGAGAGGGGAGTGGAAGGGGAGGGGGAAAATGCTGTGCTGATTGATGCCTTGAACATATAACCAAATTATGTAGTATCACTCACAGAAGGACTTATTAGTGAGTGCCTTTCCAATAAGACACAATTGGAGGGACACATTAATGAGTGCCTTCCCGATAAAGATACCATTGGAAACGCACATTACCTACAAACTCCTCTGCAAATAATTCTAACTAAGCACTGAAATGTCACACGGTGGCCAGGGATTTAGCTTGGTGGGATTTAGCTCGGCACACAGCACCTGCCTGGCAAGCTAGAGTTCCTGACTTTGATCCCTGGTACTGCAAAAAAAAAAAAAAAAAAAAGTACAATCTAAAAACCTTGAATGGATCTTAGATTCAAAAGCCCTATTTTTGGTACAATGTGGAGAATTTTGAACGTCTTAGAGTGTATGATGTTACTGTTTTCAATTTTCCTTTCCTCTTTCTCTGTCTCTCTCAGTCTGGATTTTATAAGACAGAGTCTGACTACCTGCTAACCTCGAACTCACAGAGATCCTCCTGATTCACCCTCCCCAGCACTGGGATTACAGCCATGCACCAGCACACTTCAGCTTGTTTTTAATTTTTCTTGATTGAAATATTTTGCTTTTCAGTAAGACAATGTTCTTATCTTCAGGACACACATTACTAAATCACTAAAGGCCAAGTATCATGTCTACCATTTATTTGCAATTTATTCATTAACAAATTCTTCACACTAACGTATTTATTTGAGAGAGAGAGCAAACACACACATTATATATGAGTGAAGTTACCACAATGGGTATTAGATGTTAAGCTTACCAGTAAGTTTAAGATTTTCAAAAAGAGAAAGGCGGGGAAAAGTATACTTAACCTAACAATAAGGCTAAGGATTAATCCATAATTATAGCACTAGCATAAGGCCTTCACCCTTCCACCTTGAAGTCCCTTTTTAAGCGTATTGACCATTTTAAATGTATTGACCAAGAAAACAGAATGGCTGAGTAGGCCTTAGTTTTGAGACTCTGTTCTACCAAATTTTATAGTCAATAAAGAAAAATCCTCATTTTATACATTCAAAAAAGCCTCTTTTTCAGTGTTTGTTTTCATTTTGGTTTGGTTTGGTTGTTCTGGTTTTTTGAGACAGGGTCTTATTATGTAGTTCTGACGGGCCTTAAACTCTTTATGTAGCCCAAACTGGCCTCGAACTCGCAGTGATCCTCTTGCCTCAGCCTCCCAAGTGCCGGGATCACAGACGTGCGCCACCACGCCCGGCTTCAGATTGTATTTTTGCTTTTTGTTTCTGCAGAGTCTCGCCATGTAGTCCAGGCTGGCCTTGAACTTATTGTGTAGCCCAGGCTGACCTCGAACTTACAGCGATCCCCCTGGCTCAGCCTCCTGAGGGGTAAGACAAACAGGCATGCGACACCACGCCCAGGTGAAAGTCTCTTTTTTCTCTCTAAAATGGTCAAAATAAAATAAGACCCAACAAGACAAAGACAAAAATCTCAGGTGAAACATTTGTTTCTTTAAAAACAAAGAGTCTATTTATTTGAGATAAGGTCCCTCTAGGTCGCCAGGATGGACTCGTATTTTTGACCCAGGGCGCTGGGATTTCGGGCGTGAAGCAGGGAAATCGCGGGCT